CCCGCAGAAAGTGACGCGTTTCTTCGCGGCGCACGCCGGGCGTCTTGCGCGCGCAGAGCCCGATCCGAGACGCAGTTTTACCGGGGCGGGGGGAGTCGGAGAAGCCAGCGGGGGCCATGCTTCCAGCGCAAGCGCCCGTTCAGCACTGTTCCAAGATGATTTCTGATAGCTGATAACTGAGAACTCGCCGCGAGAGCCGGCAGGTCTGGGACATAGAAACGAGCAGAACGCTTGGGCGCAGAGATCAGCGCGCCAGACCACGTTCGCGCTTCTCCTTCGCTCGGCCGCGCGCGCAGTTCCGCCGGAGGAAAAAACGCGCGACCTTGAATCTCGACACGCGCGCCAAGCTATGACGCTCCGGCAACGCGCACCGCGCTGCTCGGATCGCGAACCGGGCGGGTTGACTTAATTTTCTTCCACTACTCGCAAGATGCAGACTCGCAAACGTCAATCACATCGAACCCGTCGAGCAACCCGCGTTCGAGCTGACCCTGGAGCGAGCCTGGCGGGCCGCGCTCGCGCATGACAGGTCGGCGGCGGCAGAGCGTGAAATGCGCTGTGTCTTCTCTCAGGTGAGAGCGCCATTGACATTGACAGATCGCTGGACGCAGTGATGCAGGCGTCGCTGCCGTCTGCGCGCGCACAGTTTGCGCCGTTTCGCGCGCCGCCGCGCAGCTTGAAAATGTCAAGAGGCATGCGCGGGACAGTGAGTTCGCAAAGCAGACGAAGCGATTGGTCGCGGTGGGCCAGCGCGCCGTTCGCCCGAGAGCGGCGGGCATCTGAGTTCGGCATCCGCTGGGCATCGCCGCGCGCGTCTGAGGCGGCGAGGGACGCCGTGCGGAGCGCGGCGCGACGCCCGCGTTGTAATTGCGCGCTGCGCGCGTTGGCAGGGACGCCGCCATGTCAACGGCAAGCTCTCGTTAATGCTGGCGTGGGTTCGCCCTGACGTCTGGCAGCGCGGCGCCCAGCGGCGCCCTGGACCCGTCTGCCCGCGCGAGCGAGTGGCGCGCCCGATGGAAGCGTGCGCATGCGCACTTTGGTTCGGACTGGTCGACGACGCAGCCCGCCGCTCAGCTCGCTGGCCCCAGCAGCCCCGGATCCACCCGGCGTCCAGAGGGCCCGCCCCTCCGGCCCGCCCGTTGCAGTCTCCCCGATCGACCCGGCGCCTTTTCTTTGTCGGTGCCCATTTGGAAGCGCTTCCGGCGCCCTTCCAGAAGAGGGCGCTCCGCGCGCGAAGGAGGTTGGGGCCGAGAGCCCGGGGCGCGCGCGCCGTCGAGTGTCTCGCATGCGCGTGCAAAGACTGCCCCAGCGCGGGTTTCAAGCCAGTTCGGTGGAGCGCCAGGACGGGCCAGAGAGGTTTCAATGCAGACTTCGAACGTGCCCGGCGGTTTTATAGCGCCCGCAAGACAGCGCCAGGGGGCCCCAGAAGGCTTGAATCAGGCTTGGGAGAGTTCAATGGACGCACCAAGACAGCCCTGGGAGGGCGCCGACACTCCTCCTCCAGCATCCCCCCAGTCGCTTCCCCACTGGCGGAGGGAACGCGACGTCCGGCGCGGCTGCGTTCCGCTTCGCATGAGAAGTTGCAGCGATGGCGCTTCGGATGGAGAGGGGCGGCGGTGGCTCGCCGCGGGCGGCTTCGATGCCGCGCCCGAAGCCGACGACGCAGCCAAATGCGGATGCCGCGCCCTTGCGGCCAGGCCCTCTTGAAGCGTGCAGTCTCGCAGCGCGACGCGCTGGAGTGCAGTCGCGTCTCCAGACCTTGCGACAGGCCGAGACGGCTGCTCCGGCCCGCTCGGATTGGGGGAGTCTCGCTCCGCCGAGCGCCGCTGGGCGGGCGAGCGGTCTTGCGCGTCGTTGGTGCGAGGACATTTTGAATGTGCGTATCGCGGCTGGTGCTGGGGATGCTGCGCACGTGCATCTCCGCGATCGCAGTCGCTCGCGGACGTGGCCCGCGCCCACGGGCGCAACGAACGAACCGCGCGTCGGGCATGTCGACGCGGCCCCGCGGCGCCTTGCGGGTGCGATTCCTGGCCCGACCAGCCGGAGGCGAAAGGGGCGCTCGCGCTCTTGCCAGCAGTGGCGCGCGCGGGCTGCGAGCCGGCCCAAACGCGCGCCTTCGCATTTTGTTGCGCGCGGTTCTCCGTGCGCAGCCATGGCTTTCCGAGGGCGCGCGGCGGGCAATTTCCTGGCCGTCTGTCTTGCCCTCGGGGCTGCGGCCGTAGAGTGCGCCGCGGGGGCTGAAGAGACGCACGCTGAACCTAGTTTTTGTCCGCGCGGCTGGGCGATGCCGCTCGGCGTCTCTCTCGGCAGGCCGTCCGCAACTGTCAACGTCATCGTGGATGGGCCGAGCGCCGCCGCTGGACAAATTCGCGACGGAGCGCTGGCGCGCGGGGCGCGCGGCCTCCGCCGGGGCACGCCGTCCGCCGCCCGATTGGCGAGAAGTCGGACAGGAAAAACAGTTGTGCTCGCGGCCGCCGATAAACCGACGCTTGTGGACATCAAAGAACTAGCCAAAACGCGCCCAGCTCGGCGAGAGCCGAGGCCACCTTTCGTACGCTGCGAGCCGCTCCGCGATGGGCAGCCAAGGCGACATTTAAAGCAAGTCCGCGGCGGCGCCTGGTCGGATTTCCGACCAAAACGGCCCGGAGGCGATTGCACAGGCGACGGCGGAAATTTTCTGGTCCAGTTGGTTTGCGTTTCTGTGTTGCTTGACTGCAGACGCGGCGGAGGGCGGCTGGCGCTCTCGGCATGGGAGGCAGACGACATCGTCGCAGAGGGCGCCGGGATGCCGCCCGCCGCACTCTGCCCCCAATGCCAGCGAGATGACGCCGCCGCGTGCCCCGAGGCCCGAGGTCGTCGTCGGTCCGCGCGCGTCGGCATGACAATAGCCGCGGCGCAAGGGTTGGCGCACGAATGCAGCTCTGGGGGCGTGCGCCGCGCCCGCCGCGTATGACGGATTCGACGCGCTCGCGCGGCCTTTCGCCTGGGGCCACGTCGCCACTTCCGATTTTGCTTTGCAGCTGGTCGATTCTTCCCCCCAGCAGGACCATGCGGCGACCGCTGGACTATTCGGGGGCGGTCTGCGGACAGCTCGCGCAGCCGAGACGAATTGCGGCGCGGCAGAACCAGCCACATGCCGCCAGGCGCGCAGCCGCCAGCGCCCGAAGGTGTTCGGTTTGCTGGCCATGCCGCAGCCCATTGCATTGAGGCCTGGCGCGACGCCGTCTGGGGCAGCCATCGCTCGCGCGGTTGCCGTTGAGCGGCCAATCGAAGAATCCTGGGCCAACGCAAAGGCGGGACAGTGCCTCGCTCCATGCCAGTCGGTTCGCGGCTTTCAGTCAGGACGGCAGCGGCTGGGCGCGCGAGCAGAGGTTTTTCCACGGGCAAGGAATGGAACCCCTCCGGCTGCGCCGCAGCCCGCGGGGTCGAAGTCTCTGGGCAGAGTGAAGTTAGCGTTCGAGCCGACGCGCGCCGCCTCCCACCCAAGCGCAGTAGAAACAAAGCCAGCGCAACTGGATCTTCGGACTGCTGCCGGGCAGAGATGTCTTGCGGCGGAGAATCAGGCGCCCGCCGTGCCATCGAACCTCGGCGTGCACTTGCTGGGTCGAGCGCGGGGCCTGGGCGCGCGGCGCGAGCTGCGCCCCCCCGGGGGCGCCGAAGTCGGGGGCGACGCGCGGTGGCCGCACAGCCAATGACCGATCGCGCGGCGAACTACCCAATGCGCGCCGAAATGCCAGGCAGTTTCTCACCCTGCGGCCCGGCGGTACCCGGCAGGAACCTCGGGCCGCGGCGCGAGAAACGCGTTGGCCATTGGGGGCCAAGCCGTTGGAGGGCGCGGGCGGCCGAGCTCCCGCGGCCGATGCGCGCCTGCCTCGGCAATTTGTTTTGCTGGGTGGGGGCGGTTGCCGCCGCCGCCGCCTGGCTAGCCGCGCGCTCGAAGCAACCGTCTTCGCCATTCGACGGGCGAGCAGGCCAGTCCGCACGTCGAGGGGCCAACTCTACGCGATGATGGCACATGTGCATGCCACGCTGCTGCCAGGTGCGATTGCCTTCGAGTGGTCTACGGCCGTCCAGCTGCAGTGGCGCGAGCCTTTTTAGGGCGCGGGGCGTGAAGGATCCAGCGCGCGCGCGCGAGTCTAGCACCGCTCCGATGCTCGGGCGCAGGAGTTGCTAGACCAACGCAACAGCGCGGGCCCCTGCCGCATTCTCGCGAGGTGGCGGCCCAGCGCGGCAATGTTTCTCCGGCGCCCGAGCGCGGCGCGCGTAGGTGTTGAAGATCGCTGCGTCGACGCGTGGGCTCGGCCGGCTGCGGCGCTGGTGGTTTTTTTTTCCAGCAGGTTCCTCTTGCGCGCAGAAAGATTACGTTGCGCCCTCGCGCGTTCGCCGTCGCGGCGGGCGCGCGCGAGCGCGTGTCCGAGCGCCCGCGCTCGGGCCGCTTGCTGCGTCGGCGCGCAAAACAAGTCAGTGGTTCGCTTTCTCTGGGTGCCCGTCGGGCTGGGAGGTGGCGGTTGGCAGAATATGCGCTTTGGGCGAAGATCAACGTGGCCGGGCGCGCTCGCCGTCGCCCCCGCGCGCCTCAAGTGCAAGACGCCGACGGGTGATGGTGGGCACTGCTGGGCCGAGCTTTCATCCGACGCAAGGAGCCCGCCTTGCCGTCGAACCCCGGCGCGCAGCATTTGGGTCGAGCCCTGGACCCTGGCGCGCTTGATTAGCTGCAACCAAGCGGGAAGCCGAGATTGCTTGCGGCGTGCGTTGGCCATGCAGCCACTAACCGAGCTCGCGTCGGTTGCTGCGAAACGCGCGCGGCGCGGCCAGCAGCCCCGGCCCGCAGAAAGTGACGCGCTCCTTCGCGGCGCACGCCAGGCGTCTTGCGCGCGCAGAGCCCGATCCGAGACACAGTTTTAACGGGGCGGGGGGAGTCGGAGAAGCCAGCGGGGGCCATGCCTCCAGCGCAAGCGCCCGATAAGCATTGTTCCAAGATGATTTCTGAGAGCTGGGAACTTGCCGCGAGAGCCGGCAGGTCTGGGACATAGAAACGAGCAGAACGCTTGGGCGCAGAGATCAGCGCGCCAGACCACGTTCGCGCTTCTCCTTCGCTCGGCCGTGCGCGCAGTTCCGCCAGAAAGAGCGCGACCTTGAATCTCGACGCGCGCGAAGTATGACGCTCCGGCAACGCGCGCGCGCTGCTCGGATCGCCGACCAGTGCGGGTTGCTAATTTTCTGCCAGGCCGCAGCTGCGACCCGCGCAAGCGCGAATCACATCGACCCCGTCGAGCACCCCGCGTTCGAGCTGACCCTGAGCGAGCCTGGCGGGCCGCGCTCGCGCATGACAGGTCAGCGGCGGCAGAGCGTGAAATGCGTTGTGTCTTCTCTCAGGTGAGAGCGCCATTGACATTGACAGATCGCTGGACGCTGTGATGCAGGCGTCGCTGCCGTCTGCGCGAGCACAGTTTGCGCCGTTTCGCGCGCCGCCGCGCAGCTTGAAAATGTCAAGAGGCATGCGCGGGACAGTGAGTTCGCAAAGCAGAAGAAGCGATTGGTCGCGGTGGGCCGGCGCGCCGTTCGCCCGAGAGCGGCGGGCATCTGAGTTCGGCATCCGCTGGGCATCGCCGCGCGCGTCTGAGGCGGCGAGGGACGCCGTGCGGAGCGCGGCACGACGCCCGCGTTGAAATTGCGCGCTGCGCGCGTTGGCAGGGACGCCGCCATGTCAACGGCAAGCTCTTGTTAATGCTGGCGTGGGTTCGCCCTGACGTCTGGCAGCGCGGCGCCCAGCGGCGCCCTGGGCTGGTCTGCCCGCGCGAGCGAGTGGCGCGCCCGATTGCAGCGTGCGCATGCGCACTTTGGTTCGGGCTGGTCGACGACGCAGCCCGCCGCTCAGCTCGCTGGCCCCAGCAGCCCCGGATCCACCCGGCGCCCAGAGGGCCCGTCCCTCCCGCCCGGTGCAGTCTCTCCGATCGACCCGGCGCCTTTTCTTTGTCGGTGCCCATGTGGAAGCGCTTCCGGCGCCCTTCCAGAAGAGGGCGCTCCGCGCGCGAAGGCGGTGGGGGCCGAGAGCCCGGGGCGCGCGCGCCGTCGAGTGTCTCGCATGCGCGTGCAAAGACTGCCCCAGCGCGGGTTTCAAGCCAGTTCGGTGGCGCGCCAGGACGGGCCAGAGAGGTTTTAATGCAGACTTCGAACGTGCCCGGCGGTTTTATAGCGCCCGCAAGACAGCGCCAGGGGGCCCCAGAAGGCTTGAATCAGGCTTGGGAGAGTTCAAAGGACGCACCAAGACAGCCCTGGGAGGGCGCCGACACTCCTCCTCCAGCATCCCCCCAGTCGCTTCCCCACTGGCGGAGGGAACGCGACGTCCGGCGCGGCTGCGTTCCGCTTCGCATGAGAAGTTGCAGCGCTGGCGCTTCGGAGGGAGAGGGGCGGCGATGGCTCGCCGCGGGCGGCTTCGATGCCGCGCCCGAAGCCGACGACGCAGCCAAATGCGGATGCCGCGCCCTTGCGGCCAGGCCCCTCTTGAAGGTGCAGTTCTCGCAGCGCGACGCGCTGGAGTGTAGTCGCGTCTCCAGACCTTGCGGCCAGGCCGAGACGGCTGCTCCGGCCCGCTCGGAGTGGGGAAGTCTCGCTCCGCCGAGCGCCGCTGGGCGGGCGAGCGGTCTTGCGCGTCGTTCGTGCGAGGACACTTTGAATGTGCGTATCGCGGCTGGTGCTGGGGATGCTGCGCACGTGCATCTCCGCGATCACAGTCGCTCGCGGACGTGGCCCGCGCCCGCGGGCGCAACGAACGAACCGCGCGTCGGGCATGTCGACGCGGCCCCGCGGCGCCTTGCGGGTGCGATTCCTGGCCCGACCTGCAGGAGGCGAGGGGGGCGCTCGCGCTCTTGCCAGCAGCGGCGCGCGCGGGCTGCGAGCTGGCCCAAACGCGCGCCTTCGCAATTTGTGGCGAGCGGTTCTCCGTGCTGTAGCCATGGCTTTTCAGAGGGAGCGCGGCGGGCAATTTCCTGGCCGTCTGTCTTGCCCTCGGGGCTGCGGCCGCAGAGTGCGCCGCGGGGGCTGAAGAGACGCACGCTGAACCTAGATTTTGTCCGCGCGGCTGGGCGATGCCCCGACGCCCGCGCCGCTCGGCGTCTCTCTCGGCAGGCCGTCCGCAACTGTCAACGTCATCGTGGATGGGCCGAGCGCCGCCGCTGGACAAATTCGCGACGGAGCGCTGGCGAGCGGGGCGCGCGGCCTCCGCCGGGGCACGCCGTCCGCCGCCCGATTGGCGAGAAGTCGGGCAGGAAAAACAGTTGCGCTCGCGGCCGCCGATGAACCGACGCTTGTGGACATCAAAGAACTAGCCAAAAGCGCGTCCCAGCTCGGCGAGATCCGCGATGGCGCAGCCAGGCGACATTTACAAGCAAGCCGCGGCGCGCCTGCCATCGGATTCCGACAAACGGGAGGCGATTGCACAGGAGACGGCGGACTTTCTGGGCCAGTTGGTTTCGCGTTTTCTGTTGTTGCTTGCCGGCAGCCGCGGCGGGCCGGCTGGCGCTCTCGGCGTGGGAGGCAGACGACATCGTCGCAGAGGGCGCCGGGATGCCGCCCGCCGCACCCTGCCCCCAATGCCAGCGAGATTACGCCGCCGCGTGCCCCGAGGCCCGAGGTCGTCGTCGGTCCGCGCGCGTCGGCATGACACTAGCCGCGGCGCAAGGGTTGGCGCCCGGATGCGGCTCTGGGGGCGTGCGCCGCGCCCGCCGCGTACGACGGACTCGACGCGCTCGCGCGGCCTTTCGCCTGGGGCCACGTCGCCACATCCGATTTTGCTTGGTAGCTGGTCGATTCTCCCCCCCAGCAGGACCATGCGCTCCGCTGGAATATTTCGGGGGCGATCCTGCGGACAGCCGCGCAGAGACTGAATTGCGGCGCGGCAGAACCTGGCCACATGCCGCCAGGCGCGCAGCCGCCAGCGCCCGCAGGTGTTCGGTTTGCTGGCCATGCCGCAGCCCATTGCATTGAGGCCTGGCGCGACGCCGTCTGGGGCAGCCATCGCTCGCGCGGTTGCCGTTGAGCGGCCAATCGAAGAATCCGGGCCAACGCAAAGGCGGGACAGTGCCTCGCTCCATGCCAGTCGGTTCGCGGCTTTCAGTCAAGACGGCAGCGGCCGGGCGCGCGAGCGGAGGTTTTCCACGGGCAAGGAATGGAACCCCTCCGACTGCGCCGCAGCCCGCGGGGTCGAAGTCTCTGGGCAGAGTGAAGTTAGCGTTCGAGCCGACGCGCGCCGCCTCCCACCCAAGCGCAGTAGAAACAAAGCCAGCGCAACTGGATCTTCGGACTGCTGCCGGCGGAGATGTCTTGCGGCGGAGAATCAGGCGCCCGCTGTGCCATCGAACCTCGGCGCGCACCTGCTGGGTCGAGCGCGGGGCCTGGGCGCGCGGCGCGAGCTGCGCCCCCCCGGGGGAGCCGAAGTCGGGGGCGACGCGCGGTGGCCGCTCAGCCAATGACCGATCGCGCGGCGAACTACCCAATGCGCGCCGAGATGCCAGGCAGTTTCTCATCCTGCGGCCCGGCGGTTCCCGGCAGGAACCTCGGGCCGCGACGCGAGAAACGCGTTGGCCATTGGGGGCCAAGCCGTTGGAGGGCGCGGGCGGCCGAGCTCCCGCGGCCGATGCGCGCCTGCCTCGGCAATGTGTTTTGCTGGGTGGGGGGCGGTTGCCGCCGCCGCCGCCCGGCTAGCCTCGCGCTCGAAGCAACCGTCTTAGCCATTCGACGGGGAGCAGGCCCGTCCGCACGTCGAGGGGCAAACTCTGCGCCTGGGGATGGCACATGTGCAGTGCCTGTGCTGCCATGGCGATTAGCTTCGAGTGGCCTGCGGCCGTCCAGCTGCAGTGTCGCGGAGCCTTTTTAGGGCGCGGGGCGTGAAGGCTCCAGGGCGCGCGCGCGCGAGTCTAGCGCCGCTCCGATGCTCGGGCGCAGGAGTTGCTAGACCAGCGCAACAGCGCGGGCCCATGCCGCATGCCCGCGAGGTGGCGGCCCAGCGCGGCAATGTTTCTCCGGCGCCCGAACGCGGCGCGCGTGGATTTTGCAGATCGCTGCGTCGACGCGTGGGCTCGGCCGGCTGCGGCGCTGGTGGTTTTTCCCAGCAGGTTCCTCTTCCGCGCAGAAAGATTTCGCTGCGCCGTCGGGCGCCCTCGCGCGTTCGCCGTCGCGGCGGGCGCGCGCGAGCGCGTGTCCGAGCGTCCGCGCTCGGGCCGCTGGCTGCGTCGGCGCGCAAAACAAGTCAGTGGTTCGCTTTCTCTGGGTGCCCGTCGGGCCGGGAGGTGGCGGTTGGCAGAATATGCGCTTTGGACGAAGATCAACGTGGCTGGGCTCAGGGGCGGCCAAACCGACCCCTACCAAACCATGCCCTTTTTTCAAAGAAGGCGGAAGTGCGCAAACACAGGGAGCGAATGGGATCCTTCCTGAGAGTCGCTCTCGCAAGACCGGGTCGCGGTCCCAGGGGCATGCGGAGAGACAACTAAATCGAGACGTTTTGGAAACCACTGCACCAGTCAAGCGCTTCGGGGACGAACATAAACGAAAGCGCCAGCGCGGGCAGAAGTCGCGACGACGGGCCGGCAGAAAGAACGACGCAAGATAAGGAGCACGGCCCAAGGACAGTCATCGGGGAACGTCAACGGCGCATGAAATCCACTCGCTGCCTTCGAACGGCGCGACCACCGGTGGCCGGCCAGAGCGACGCGTCTGCGCTGGCACGGGCGGTTATCATTCAAAATATCATGCCTCGGCCCTGCGCTGCGTAGCGCAACTCTTTCTTAATGCGAATCAGAGCTCCAAGGTGCGCACATGATGTCGGTGAGCCGAAACGCGCGCTGAACCTGGGCGGCTAGGAAAAAAACGCAACCACCCCCAAAACGAACATATCCCAACGAAGCAGTCGCATGCTTTGCGCGCGGTGAAGTACGACCGCCAGGGTTTGAACAGTCTTACAACATACCTGGCAAACCTTGAACGATTTTTCAAAAGTGATCGGCACACTCACGACACCAGAATTACAAATAAATCGTTTCGCTACTTCGGGAATTTGACAAAGGAACACCACGCCTTTTGTATATGGACGAGCAAGTGAAACGTCACCCACCCTGACGTACGCATGCGCGTGCAGGGATGGCGAATCGAGCCAATGATGGCCCAAAGAGACGGTCCTCCTGTGGAGGGGTTTTGCCAGCGCGTGCCCGCTACATATCAGGAGCCTCGAAAGTGCACAAACAGACATATCATAGGATCCACACTTGGCTCTATCACAGAGCGCCCATGTCTGCATTGGCAAGTATGGCTCCGGTGCCGAGCCAGGCGCATGAGTACGCACGTGCTGCGCGACCAGGCTCACGCGCCCCATGGAGACTGCGGCCGTTTCAAGGCATTGGCCACGCATCCCCACAGACGCAACACAGTACGTTGCACATGTCGAGGCAATGAGTTGCAAATATTGGGATAGTATGCCTGGGTGCAACATGCCAGCACATGCCGCACAAACCACACGTGTAACCCCCATCCCTCCATTTCCGCCTGATATCCCGTCCACATATTTTATATATCCTTCCCTCCCCTGCCGCCCCCGTTCTTCCCCCCCCTCCCCACCCTCTCTCAACTCCCCCCTCCTCCGCCCCCCTCCTC